TCTCCGTGGCAGAGAAAAGTTCGCCCTGGGTGATAGCAAGCCTATTATCATATTATCGCCTCAGGCACTGCTATTAAACTGAAAATTGCAGACCAGGTTTTTAAAAAAAAAGGGACATTCATGTGGAGATCAGTGGAACAGCTTGTAGCCACTTCAGGCCTCTCTTGTCCGCAGCATTAGGAACAGGTCAACAAAATGTTTTGTGGCTCATCTTAGTCATGGCTGGTTAGAAAAATTTGATATTTCTGGTCAGAAAAATCGATTTTTTTTTTTTGCGATATAACAGTTTATTGAACCTTTAGACAAAATATTCTTAAAAAATGTGCATATGTGTATTTTGTATCATATAGTACCATGTAGTAAGATATGAGAAATATAGCTCATAAGCCAGGAAGAAAAAAATACTATAATTTTATTCAAAGGCCCAAACTGAAACACACACACACACAATATTCAGTGCAAGTTGCTGATATTCATATTCTCAGAGAGAAAAAAATCTCATAGCTTGTAATGAAAATCAATGAGATCTTTATAGCAGTAGCTATAGCAGGCTATAAAATACATAAAAATATCAGTTGTCACTGCAATAATACTGTATTTCTTAGTAAGATGTGAGAAGATATTGGGTAGATAGATAAGATATAATTTATCGCTTGTCACTTTATTACCATTCATTTTATTGTATTATTTTATTTCTTACTTTCAAAAAGCCCTGTTTTTGCACTGTGGCTTACAATTACATCAGTTTTGAAGGATAAAAATATTAAGAAAAAGATTCATTTTAAATACTAAAGTGCACAATTATTTCAGGCAAAAATGTAAACTGAAAATGTCAGTGTACGTCTCGAACTTAAAAATGAGTGCAGTAGGCCACTGTGGCATTAAAATCTGGTCTCAGTTTAGTATTGACGACACAAATATTTCTCTCTCGAATGTTCCGATAGAACGAGTGATAACTGAAGTTCTGCTTGCGCACATAATCAGAAAAGAGGAACACTTGCTATTTGCGTCATGCCTCAGCAGCATTAGGAACAGGTCAACAAAATGTTTTGTGGCTCATCTTAGTCATGGCTGGTTAGAAAAATTTGATATTTCTGGTCAGAAAAATAGATTTTTTTTTTTTGCGATATAACAGTTTATTGAACCTTTAGACAAAATATTCTTAAAAAATGTGCATATGTGTATTTTGTATCATATAGTACCATGTAGTAAGATATGAGAAATATAGCTCATAAGCCAGGAAGAAAAAAATACTATAGTTTTATTCAAAGGCCCAAACTGAAACACACACACACACAATATTCAGATTGCTTTGCCGTCACTTAGTTTGAACGTTTTTTTATTTTATTTTTTTTGCTGCGTCTCTTTCTTTGATTTTCTTGAACTCTCATCGTCTGTGTCTTTGGCTCGTGTCAGTTCTGTCAATTGGAAGAATTAGATGTGCTGTCTGGCATAACAGCGGGTCAGTGCTCTGGCCAAATCCTAAAATAAAAGAGCACTTCTGCCATTACAGCCTCTCCAGCTGTCTCATATCAAAGTTAAAAAGAGGTAAACTCTCAGTAGAAAAGTGCACAATACTCCAATGAATTCCCTTATGAACATATAGGTTACGTGGTAACATTTTATTCATTAATATATATAGCCTACAAAATAATATACTGATAAAATGCATATAAGCCATATTGAAAAAACACTTCAGCACATTTAGCAATGTTGGGAATGTTACTTTGGAAATGTAATAGGTTACAGATTACAAGTTACCCTATTCAAAATGTAAGAAGTAGAATAACTGATTACATTTTATTACTTTTTGATTACTTTTCTAAATTTCTAATGAATGTTTTCAATTGTTATTCATTTTCAAACATTTAAACCATGCAGCATTAACCTTTCAGTACTCAACAGTTGGCTAATTACTATCAGACTTTTCAAAATCCTCCTTCACTTGAATTAAGATTATAATGATTTAATTTTAAAGCACACCCACCACAAAATCAGACTTTAGCACGTATTTTTACTTTGATTTTGTTCAGATTTTTTATTTTTAAATTTCCAGCACTGGAATGTATTTTTCTTACTCGTCATGGTGGCAACTCTCATGGTTGTAGCCTAAAGATTTTAGCGGCAATGTGGCTTGATGTAGTTGGGAGATGTGCTGCACTGCAAATTCAAACAAGAGAACCAATCAAAAGCATCAGAATAGCATCGCTTTAATAAACGGCCTTTAAATGGCAGGAGGCATTGTGCACATCAAAAACAGGCAAAGCAAATTAATATTATCCAACATATCCTAGCTTTTTGCAGAGAATATTCAGATGTAACCCACTTTGTAATCCTTAACTTTTTCATAAGTAACTGTAATTTAATTAACATTTTTTCTTAGTAACTGTAATGGATTACAGTTACATTTATTTTGTAAGTAAGTCAGTTGTTTGGGAATCACATTGGTTGTGCTGTATGTTTTTGATTTACTACATAGAACTGACTCTAATTAGAGTCATTCGTTCAGGAACTGGACTACTCTGTATTCCATAAAAATATGCTAAAATTGGAAGAGTAGAATGCTAATATGCCGTTTCAAATTTAACGTGTCAGGGAGTAGTACGGAAATCGTTCATACAAACTTTTATCACACTTGTCTCTTTACTTCTCAAATAATAACACTTCAAACTCTAACATTTTCATATCTGCTTAGTAGCTTTGAAATTAGTGCTTTGTTTATTTTATATTTTATGACTAGCGAACTGTTTTCTCTTAACTGAGGATTTGCTGCAATGCAACTAAACTAAAGTACTTTCCATTATTTACTTCTGAAAAGCACATCTATATTTCATCCAAACAGTGATTTATATTGTATGTGGCCCATCACATACTACCATATCCCTTTGCCAAATGCCTGGCATTTGGATTTCGCAGTCCCTCATTGGATAAATTACCCGGTTTCTGGTCAGTGTATCACACATTACTTGAATAATACCCCTCAGAGGAGTCCAGTATTGAGTCCAGCCCACTAATGTGATACATGAATAGGCATGGAGGCATCCACACCTCCCCTGGCCACGGCTAAAGCGGAGGTAACAAAGCCCAGGGTGATGGAGGGCCCAAACCACGCCTGGCCCCATAATGAGCGGGTAATTAGTGAGTGGGATTACAGCCCTGCCGTCCACCGAGAAATTAGCATTAATCAAAGAGTTGGTCAGGAGGAGAGAAGTATTGGTCACACCGGGCTCTGATGGTCCTGCTGGACGCTGAATGGCAATGAGTCGCCTAAGGCACGGACGCAGCACGAGACCCTTTAATTGCCACCAGTGTTTTAGAACCGTGGAGACAATCAATGGCTTCCCATTGCTTAATGGCGCTTGGATGAGGAGAAAGGGGAAAGTGTGAATGCTGGCAGGTGCTGAGGCCCAGAGAACGGACTTCGGGGAAACATGACCTCACTCGGTTCTCCATGTGCTGTGCGTTTGGTGAATAATGCGGCCGGTTATTTGTGTGAGTTTAATATTTGAGGCATGACCTCGGCTGGAACCTTTCAGTGATTATTATTCTATCTCATGCTCGCTTTTGGGATGTAACAAAATTCATCTGTAGTGAAGTGTCCTTATGTAAACCTATTGGTGGTAATCCGTGAGGCGATTTCCATCCAGTGGCCACCGAGTTTTGAAGTAAATGTTGCAACGTTTTAGCAGCTGTTTTATGAATCAACACAGCAATTAAGGCTCTGTCGCATACTATTAAAGGTGAGGTCACATTAAACGATATTAACGGGCAAAAGGTCCACTGTCTATTTTTCAATGGTGTAGCGATGCATGAAGCGCAGCTCGGGTGACAAAAATCTTGGATGCTTATTAAAATGACTGGATTTCGGCCATGAAAATTTGCTGAACATGTAAATGTGAGCACTGCTTCTAAACTGTGCAGGATACGTTAGCTCCTATAGTTGCTTTTTAGTAATTTTCTTGCTGTTTAATTGAACTGTGTTGCCTGGGCTGAAAATGTGTGTCACACTAGACATCTTCTGTGTTTACTCCCAACAGAATCCCTCAAAAAACTCACACCAGCGTGAGCCGCTGCAGTCCAGCGTCTGGCGGTTTGTGTATGTGTGTTTCCCTTGATTTATATGTGGATGACCCACAGAACGTCAATTTCTCCAAGACGCTGTATATTTATGCATGCTTTTAAAACCCCAACCCAGCTTGAAAGTAATTATGTCCGCTTTGGGTGATATTCCAGCGAGAAGGGATCCCTGCTGCGGTCAGTCTGGATCCAACCTGAATCCAGTCCACTGTAAACACAGCAGAAGAGCACAAGATATCCATCTATCTGAATGTCTACTCCCTTATGCCACCAATCTTAAGCTATAGCTTAAAAAATAACATGCTTAAAATGTCAGAAATTGGTCTCCTGAGAGACCACAGAGGTCTCCGTAGACCAAAAAGTCAAGGTTTGGCAGGTTATCATGATACTGTAAGCCATGTTGCTATTAAACAGTTGGGAAAAGCATCTTTCTCCATTCAGAATATTATATACTATATTATATTATATAATATTATATATACAGAATAGTATAGTAATTTGTATGAATTAGTACGAATTCGCTGTGAGGTTGGATCATCTCCTATTGAGATGAATGTGAAAGCAAACAGATAGCTTTTTCCTATAGACCGCTCTGCTGCAATGTTTTTTTTTTTTTTTTTAATAAATCTTGTCAGAAAACTAGCAAATCAGAAACATTCTCTGTCTGTCAATCATTTTGTGTGCTGATATCAGGTCAACTGTGTTTAGAGGGTGGGGTTTTGTCGGGAAATGGTGTGAGGTTGAAGTTAGCAAAATAGCTAAAACGCTAACAGCACCTTTATTTTTATTTATTAGCCTTTTTTTTACACTTCTCATGTTCTAATTTCACACTTCAGTTTCAAAATATATAGAAAATGGTTTACAACATCAAGTATTTACTTTAACATCAAACATTAAATTACTTAAATTGTCTGGATTTAGTC